CTGGCCTCATTTTACAAGCTAAGAGGCTGAGAAAAGGCAGTGAATTAAGAATTTATAAGAACGGACAGATAACATTCAGGCAATCTTCAAGAAGAAAAAAAAAAAGAGAGAAATGGGGGGTTTTTTTAGAGATTTGATGAAGTCACTGTTAATAATTTATCTCCATACAAACTAATACACCAATAATCAAATGTGATGTCCTTCAGAAAAGAAGGGCATGGCTACACAGTATAACCCTCTCTCCCTCCCCATACTCTGAATGGCTTCATCCAGTTAGCCTAAACCTCTTGTTGAACAACACAACCTCAACCAAACCCTCTAAAGCCACACAGAAAGTCTTCAGAGAGCGTACTGTAACTTTCGGACTACGTAAGTCTGGAAAAAGAGGCCTTGGGTTACCTCCACCACCCTTTCTACAGATCACATGACCATGTACGTTTATGCCTTTTTACACAAAAAAATGGTTTCCCACCTAGTCCAAGTCTAAATAACCACCTACGGGGAAGGAGGCACCACATGCATCTCCTTAGGACTATGCGCATATTTATCTGAACGCCTCCAACGCTGGCACCTGGAAGCACCTTCGTCTCACGCTAAAGCTTCGGTCAGAGATCGGATTTCGTGAGAGTTTTTACATTCCAGGATGGGTCGATCCCATTTTGGTTTTAAAGTAGCCAACTCAAACACTGCCTGCTCCCCCCCTCCCTCGTGCAGGATACAACACCAACAAAGAGGGGAAGGAAAAAAAAATAATAAAGTTGGGCCCTTCCTATTATGTGCTTACTGCAGAGGACAGACAAAGGAAACCCTCAGGAAACTGCTCTTTACACACCATGGAAAGCAGTTTTACCAGCAGTTTTTCTGAGGTCTGCTTTGTTTTGAAGCCGCTCTGCCATGAAAATACACTTTTTCTGGAATGTTCCTCAAAATCCTTTTTCATTTCTCCCTGACTTTCACATCATAGCTGTCAGTTTCAGCTAAAGTCAGAGGAGTTACACAAGTACCTTGGTCCAGAAGGGCAAGCCAGCCCCTGGGAAAGGGATGCCATAAAAAGGGAGTGAAACTATGTATTCAGATCCTGGACCTTCCTGCCCCAAATCTGTCAATGAGTTACTTAAAAACTGGCATGCCTTCAGGATCGTTCTAAAGCCAGGACAGCAATAATATAAGATACCAGAAAGAAAACAGAAGCATACCTAACAAGGGAGACAAAAATCAAAACATGCCCACAAGGAAAACGGGGAAAGAAGAAAGACCATTTAGCTCCGCTGAGCTGAAAGACCAAATTCAGAGTAGCTTGATAAGGTCACAAAAACATTGTGTATGAGCCCTAGCTGCAGCCCCATGAAGATACTAGCTAAAATTTTTTGACGGACTGTGTGAAACTGGGAATTTACATCTCCCAGGTTCTGCCACTAGCCTCATTGCATGACGCTGGGCAGTTCATTCGAACGCACAGGAACCAGCATCCTCCAGAGATAACGCAGGGATGGAGATCACTGTCCAATACGCTAGGCTGTTTTGAAGTTACGTTAGGAAACGGTCAGATTGTCCTAGCAGAAAGAGGGTCTCTGGGATGCAGCAGGAGACCTGAGTTTGAGTCTTGCTTCAGCTCCTAGCCAAGTGTGTTATCCGTAAAAACAGGGAGAACAACTGTAGTAAACTAAACACGTTAGCTCTTGGATTTCTGCTAAATACTTTCTTCATTACATCAACGAGTCGCTGGTTGGAATTTCCTTTGTAAAGCACTTTGAGACCTACCGATAAAAGAACAAAGCACTCTGCAAGAGGAAGGAGTTTCTGCCAGATGCTCTAGTGTCTCAGGCGAGCTCCTGTCATTTACAACATGAAGCAACACTATTCCTTTATACCATAAATGTGACCAAGTTGCCCAGACTCCCAACATTAGAATAAACTCGAACAGTTGTAGCAAGGCTCTGCTTTTTGTAAAGTAACCTCTTTAGAACCAGGGAGGTCAAAACTGTGCCAGAGCGCTCTCTCTACTTTCTAACCTTTGCCTGCTGCCCAACATAAACAGATCACAGGGCCACCTCAGGGCCCATGCACGTGGCTTTCTGCCCTGGTGACCCAGAAGAACAAGCCAAAAGCACCAAGAGCAAGCAGGGCTCTTACAAGAACAAATCCACTCCGAAGTATCTGCTAGGATACCAAGACTTACCCTGCCAACAGCAAGGAGATGGCAAGCATAAATCCCACATGACCACGATATACGTTTTCTAAGCATGCTTAAATATCTTGGCAACAAATAAGGTCAAATAAGCTTATGAAAGTGCAAGAGCCATTGCCCGCAGCAGCCAGAGCTGCTATGTGAGGAAGCTGTCTCTTCGTTTAAAGCTCCTAGCCACTGATTTGTCTCTCGTTCGCCTCTTAGCTTTACACTAATAATTCAGTGGCATCCAAGTCTGCAGTTTTCTCAGATTGCTTCTTTCCTGACTCCAACCCATATCACGGCCTAAAATCATCCCAGGCTCCCTGCTCATCACCAAGAGACCTGCAGGTATGTAAAGCAATTGCTGAGGCAAGACAGCATGAGAAAACAGACGTCAGGAGATAGCGTCCATCCTCTCTCACAGCCTTACACTTGCAATGGCAAACTTGCACTTCAAAAGCCACCGGCTTCACAGCTGCAAAACGGACCAAGGACAGAGAGAGTGAAGCTAAGCCTTCAGGTGACAGTTTCCACGTGAACAACACTGCTGCTTGAACTACAAATGCACAACAGCACAGTTAGGTAAAGACTTGGACTTTCCAGGTTTTTTTCAGGCTTCCCTGGGTCAAAAGAGAGCACAAAATTCTGCATTATTATTTTTTCCTCTTGGAACAGCTATTTTTGAAGCATAGGGGCAGAAATGGCCAATGACAGCAAATACAGAGCTCTCAGTTACAAGTAGGACACCAAAACCTCATCACTTAACGTTCTCCACAGCATAACAAACTGCTGCTCTCAGGCCAAGTCCTTGTGAGTAAGCACATACATGTTAACATCCACCTACTTATGCATCCGTCTCCGAAATCCTGGCTGATCTGGAAAGGCCCACAGAAACAGGTCTCAGCTGAACAGGACCAAGACTGAACTACAAGAGAAATTTCCAGTTCTGAAAACACCCTCCCTATGCAGTAGATATGCAGTGGCATGCATGGACTTCAAGGATGATCAGAGCTATTTCTCAGCTAAATCTGTGCTTCTGTGCCACCAAAAAAAGCACAGAATACCTTTTGCAGCTTTAGAAAGTTTTGTGGCACAAGCATCAACCTTTGGCCATGAGTTAAAATTGTTACATGGAACACAAGGTCCTTCATCCCTAGTAATTGATTAGAGCAACATTTAAAGAGCAGTTGCTGCAACAACTCCAAGGAATCATACCAGCACCATGTTAGTGCAACAAGAGAGCAGGAGGAAGAAAGCCAAAACATAAAAAAAATATATGCATATATCCACCTACAGAGCACTCTGTAAAAAACACTATGTCAGGGCTTTTTCGGAGCAACCGAAAAAGAGAACTAGCACCCAAATGCCACTGCCAGTTAATAGTATCCGAGGGCCTGCTGCCGGCAGGGTATCTTGGACAGCCCAAATACGTTGACAGTATTTCCCAGGAATTTTTCTTGAAACACAGATGACTGCAGAAATGAGAAGCACAGTAGAAGCTTTGGTAGCAAAGCTCATTAAAACACTGGACGGGTTGCAAGATGCTAAACTTTCTCTGACAAGGATAACATAGAGGCATTGTAAATGGCTGTGGTTTCCCAGTGAATCACTCCGACTCCTACAGGTATTTAGCTGCTGGAGAGAACCATGGAGATGATCGGGTTGGAAGGAATGGCATGTTTTATGTAGCTGGAAAATAAAATCATACCTGACTCCACCTATTGAGCTTCTGATGCAATCATTAAATAAAACCCATTTAACAAAACCCAGGATTACCTGCTTCCTCAAGAATTTTAAACACCACCTCCGAATTCTTTGATTTAAATTTACTTAGATTTTGTTCCTCCTCAACAAAGGAAAATAGAGCGAATCGTTCTGTTCCAATATAGCAAATTACATAATGGCCTAAATTACCATGTAACTAGCATTTAAAAAAAGTAAAGAAGGAAAGCTACATTTAGACAGGGCAATACTACAGCTACGTAGGAAAACCCAGACTGGAAACTCCCATGTCATCAAGTTTGAAGTTATGCTGTGTCACCACATTGTAACATTAATTTGGCTGTCTGGTTCCCCCCATGTCAATCCACACAAGTATAATTGGATGGCATTTGCTCCTTCCGTCTCCTGTCCCACAGATCAGCTCCTACAAAATAGCTGCACCCACAAGGTGTCTTCAGGTACAGTTTGCACTTGCCACTGCATCAGGAGCCCTACAATCTTTTCATCATCGTTTTTTCTGTACAAACTATTTGCCGCTGTATTTTAGGGTTTCCCTATTAACAATATTAGCAAGAGAGTTTGGTTCAGAAGGCTTGCAACGTACCAGGAAGCTGAAGTCTAGGGATCCAGACCGCAGCTCTCTCTGGCCCAGAAGTTTATCCAGACATAGAACTTCCATAATACTGTGTGAAATTAAGTCAATATCCATGATACTTTCCAATTCAAAACTTGTTTTTGAAAGCCACCTAAAATTGGCCTGTACAAGTATATTCCCTACAACTCAGGCTCTGTGTCTTGGATCCATTTGCAGGCTCTGCTGAGCTGTATCAGACACATTTTTTGCACTCTGTATATTCTCTAAAACTCAGGCCCTATCTCTTGGATCCATATGCAGGTACTGCTGAGCTGTACCAAGCACATTTCTGACACACTATATAAATATATCCGAACAGCAGCGTTACAAGAATGCTTTAATCCTGGTGGGAGACCCTGGAGTCCCTACTCAGACCTGGTGCAGGCAGGCACAACTCTACTAACATCAGTTAAGTGGAGCGTGCCTGCATCCATTAGGTGCTATCCATACTTTTAACGCGTTGAAGCCTGTTACCTCCGTCACTTGGCTGATGCTCTCTCTGATCAGATCCTCCCACTCCTCCTCTGTCACGGAGAGCTTCAGCTCACGAAGCGGTAAAACCTTCTGGAGAAGCAAACATGCCTGGGCCTGAAAGAGAAAGGGGAGAGGAGAGGTGAAACCCCATGCTTTCTCGGGAAGGTGCCTCCAATGCACATACACCACTGAAACGAACAGCCGAGCACAAGGGCTGCAGAACGTCACGTTGCAGATGTCACATATCCTCCCCAACACGTATGCAAACTATGTTAGGAAACGCTCTCCAGACCCTGCTAGGGTCCCTCCTCACTGGAGGGTTTTGGTTTAAGGCATGCATTTAAATGGGCCAAAGGGGAGGAAATCGACTAGATCTTCTAGATCTAGTAGATCTAGAATCGTCTTCTAGATTTAGGTGTTAGTATCCGAAATGTGTTTTAGTAGCTGGTTTGAGTGCATCACCTTCAGTCTCCAAAAGTCTCCTGGTAGCCCTTTGTGTGACTCTACCCTTTACTGCGCCCTGACGAATGCAGCAGGCACAAATAAACAAAAATAAAAGCTAGCAGGGTAGCAAATGCTCCATTTCAAAGGAAACCTAGATGGAAAGTCCTGCTCAGAGCAGCACTCAGCCTTGCCCTGGAGTCAAACTCCGTCATTAAATGTACACGTTAGCACAGCAAAGACAAGAGTAGCCACTGGAAAACCCACAGCAATCGGCAATCTTCTCCCATGTCCTTTTCTACTCCAGATTTCCTATTGTAAGGCTTTCTCAGGTTCAGGAAAAATGCAACAAAGCACAAAAGCAAGTGATAGAAACACATGAGAATACACTAATAAGGATTAGCACAAATAGTCTAGCGGATTTAAAGGGGGCACTTTCTTAACAGCATGGAGTCAGCCTACCCACGTATAAAGACAAATTGCTGCCTCCAGCTGTCATCACACAGGCCTAAATTGAATACAGGTATAAATACCAAGAATCCCTGGGAATTATATCAAGAATTAATCTTGCCCAAAAAAAGCAAGGGCTGCCCCTTTTTAACCACACACTGCAACTGAACCCACCCTAGAGACAACAGCTGAGCAGAGTTTGTCCAACTCTTTACTGAAGACACCACTGAGACCAAAAGTCTAAGAGCCCTCAGAAAAAAAAAATCAGCATCGCAATTCCCAACCTGGGCTCCAGATACCTCCAGGGTCCAAGGGAAGCAACCTAGAAAACTTGTATTAGGAGGCTTAAAACTACATATTGAAGACTTCAAAGTTGAGTTATCCCACAGGCACCAAATGCAGTCTTTTCATAATAAAGCATCTGCTGCTGGCCGTGGTTGCAGGGACAGGACATTGCACACAAGCCCTCCACTGGATCACTTCAGAGGTCATATTTGTGTTATAATGGTGCTAATACGATGGATCCGCATACGTTTACTTCCAGTTTACACCAGTATCGCCCAGGAAGAGAATTATGCATACAGAACAAGCCTTCATTCACCAACAGCAATTCTGTTCATTACTTGGGGGGTTGGAAAACGGGTGGAAAACAACAATAACACGCCAAAGGATGTATGTTGATTTAACAAGAGAGCGAGTCCTAATGCCACGTTCCTGGCAACCACGCTTACACACTTCTTGTTATTATGGGGAGGCTGTGTCTTGCAGAAGAAATTATGGCATGGCTGCATGCACGTACCAAATGTAGTGGAAAGTGACTTCAGTGCAATTACAAAGAGAATGTGACCCTGGGAGTAAATTAAAGGCCATAATTCATTCGGAAAGGCTCAGGCAGGTCATAAACCTCAAGGCAAGGCACCATCTCTTCTTCGGCAATTACCAAAGACATTCATACTGCGTATGGGTGCAAAGCAAAGAGAAGGGGCCGTTTGAGTAACCCTGAAGGTATCTCAGGGCACCAGATGTACTCAAGACGCTAATTCAGGGCCAGAGGCAACAGTGACACGGGACTGTTCAGGAATCACACCAGCCAGCAGCGGCTGGGAGCACTGCAAGTCAGTGAGAAAAGAGGAGATGAAAAGAAAATCAAAGCCATCCAAAGGAACAAGGGGCTCTCGACACCTGAGACTCAAACGCTGGTCTAGCAGAAGAGACCCTAAAAAGGACTTAGGCCTCAGTAAGCATTAAGCATGAAAACGATTTAAAAGGGAAAAAAAAAAAACCTTCTGTGCGTAATAAATCAGGAAGTCAAAATCCCCAGTTTCTGAGAATCCTCCTTGTTGCTATCACTTTTTAGTAATTTTGTCGCACTCATATGGCTTTCATGCCTCCAGTTCGTATTAGATTCAAGCAAAGAGAAAATAAGTTTTGTTTCAGGTAATTAAAACATTGCTATTGCTGTAATCAAAGCACTCCTGTGTTTCCTGACAGTTTGTTCACTCGATGATGATTTAGTACCAAGTGTGAGCCCCTTTTCTCATTTGAAAGAGTAAAAAGATAATAAAAGATGTTTGTTGGTTGAATCAATTTTACCTCAAGAATAGCTCAACCAGAGAACAAATGTGACATTAATAATTAAAATTTCCTCAGCGCCCAGTACCCATGGTGCGTTGTAGTGTAAGGTTATCATATTTATCACCCAGCCGGTGACTCTTCTGTTACTGGAGTCAGTAATTAACACATAGCTCTCATATAGTCTACTTTTCCAGAGCATACTGTATAGTTAACTCCTTTTGCAAATGGAGAAAATTAAACCACAGGGAGAAGAACTGAAATGAGTCAGTCAGAAAAATCATGAGCAGAAACTAAACCAAAACGAAAACCCAATTCCTCAGTCCCAGTCCAATGATATAACCACTAAGAAACAACACTTCCCACTTCTCCCACTGATGTCATCCCAGCTCAGCAGGTTCAAACCAAAATAGGAGAGGCACCAATATTCTTCTTTAGAGGGGCACAGCTATCACACCTTGCTCACAGCATTTATCGGCACGCGATAAAGGATCCTGGATGTCATCAGAAGCCTGCTTAACAAGTAAACATACCCGGGGTAAACTATCTAGCAACCAGGATCACCAAGCTGCCACATCAGCTTGGGAATTAGTGGTCCTCAGTAACGGACTTTCAGCCACAAGCTCATGCCCCTCCTGAGCAATGTCAAACCCCCGGCTGGAAGGGCATTAGCTCCCCGCAGAACAGCGGTCCCCAGCGGTATTCACAAAGAGGATTTTAGATACTCGGAGAGGAATCACTTTCATGACCTCCAGGAACTTCTCCAGGCAACATATTCTTTATCACCTAGTAGAGCTAAGAATACAAGCACTGTGCAAGCAAATAAGATGAGACCCAAAGTGACTCAAATCTCTACAAACCCTTTCCTTTAGGTCACAAAGTAATAGCTCTCTCTCTGCAGTTCATTTTCCTTGTTTTATTTTCTCAAATAAATGGACATAACGCTGCTGAAAGTAGACACACTGGAGGTGTGAAAACCTTTGCGCTTGGAAGTGAGTGTTCATTTCCCACCCAGCACCGGCTTTGGAGGATGAGCCAGAGTTTCCGGAGGTGATGAGCCATCTTGCCTGCCCGTCCTGACACATCACAGCAGACTGATTTTTGGGAGCCCCAACACTCAACATTTTCTAAAAATGAGGCTGTTCAGAGGATTTCTCAAGCTGGCTCTCTCCCAGAATGAGGCTCTTTCCATTGCTAGTCGTTTCTGAAAACACAAGCTACCGTCATTCAGTGGTGCTCCTGTGACAGTTTTCTGTTCTGCGAAACAGGTTTTACTACTTGCGTTCTGCAAGAAAATACACATGTGCAAGATGTGTTCATAAAACGTCTTCATTCACACATACACACTTAAAACCAAACAAAGCAGTATTTTTATAAGCTCATGCTCCAAGATGCCAGCGCTCCTCTTGCTGAGCAGCAGTAAAAAGAAATATTCCCAATGTACAGGTCACACGCCGGTCTCCTGCCTACTCTCTTATAACTTCCTCAGAAGCAGTCAGGAGCCGTCCATGTGCTAACTAGAGGAGGTGCTGACCTTGCACAAACTGCCAATTCCTACCTCCCGACCAAGACTTTTGGAGAGCGAGACCACACACACAGCTCCTTAGAAGGAGGCAGGCCATCCCAGCTAGTACAGATCGTTGGCATCAGACTATTAACCCCTCAAATTTCTCACAGGCTATCATCTACCCTTAACGTGTTCATGATGTGCCTTTTGTATGTGACATACGGACCAGTTGCACATGTTTTGCCATCAACTCACAGAATGATTTGAAGTTTGGAAAAGTACTCCCAGAAGATCCAGCACAGACCTGGAGCCCAACAACACCCCAGCTCGGTCCCCTTCCCCAGCACCACTAATGTTTTGGAACATCCTCCAAGCAATTGGCACTTTTAGAAGCTGCCAGATCAACACTGTTGCCAATGATACCACAGAGGATTCTCCGTGTTTGCTCAGTGCCAAATAGAGCTTGCCGAGTTCCTGACAGCCCTATGAGAAGCAAGGATCCTTCACACTTTACACACCGTCAGAAATAGCAGAAGACTCAGGAGTTCCCAGCTACCGAACCCTAGTCTGGTTCGGAAAGGAAAGACCCCCATATGTACAACCTCTGAAATGGAAACGCGTGAAAAGAGCTATAAGCAGTGAGAACCATATTATAGCTTTTTTCTTCAAGGGCAGGGGGGAATGCTGCAGCCCATCTTGTGTACGATGTTAGCCCATCCTAACCAAAGCCTTTTCTCCTTAATTTCAGCTAAAAAAAGACTATAAAATAGTACAACAATAAATAAAAGCAGTCTATTCAAACAAGGATAGCAGTTACATACATATACTCCCACATATATCTTTCAACCATATGACTAAACGAGGCAGAAACGCTCATTATCAGTCCATGTGGGAGAAGAGAACAAACAATAACCAGCCATAGCGCTGACCCTGTGTTTTCCTGCCAGCTTTGTTTATTTCTGTCTTATCTACAATGATTACACAAAATGCCACTCAGTATAAATGTTCAAGATTTCTTTCCGAAATAGTAACCGAGCTCCCTGCAGTAACTGCGATGTGCTGGTAATTCCCAGATGTGCTCACCTAGCTTACTTAGAAGCTCAAAAGGGGAGCAATCTGCCTGGGTTGCTGGGTTATACAACAT